TCAATTATAATTCCATTCCTTCCTCGATTTGTCCAGGTAAATTTAGGCCCTTGAAATGGCGGCTCAAACATGCCTAATCGGTTTAAGAAGTCCTCTAGAGGACGCGCTTTGTCCCTTCTCCATGGGGCGCCACCCAATTTTTCAGATGGGAAAAGTGAACAGTTCACATCACCAATAATTAAAAAAGGATCTGTTAGGCGTGAACAAAATCCAAGTAAATCCATTAACTGAGATTGGCGACGCGAAATGATATAGGATAAGTATACTCCAATAAGCACGAAACGTTGACACTCGCCGTACGAAAATGACTTATTATTAATGACCGCAATAGCAATAAAAAAAGGGGTAGACCCAATAACTGACACAGAGGCCCAACTAGGCCAAGCAAAGACTAAGCCCCCCGACATACCGGTAGGGTCAACCGGAAAACAACTAGAGAAACCCAAAGATGACATAAAAGATGACACTTTATCACTAGGATTCATTGTTTCACAAAGAAAAAGAAAGGACTTAGACAGACTGTGGAGACCTTTAAGCGTTTGGAATGTCAAGGTACTCCCCACACCTTGACAATTCCACGCATAGACCTTCATTTATCAAATTGGGGCCACTTGGGGCTGGCTACCTCCACCGTTATTCCTTTGTTCTTTGGCCCTTCGATGCGTGGGCGCTTGAGACCTGAATCCACAACCCCATCCTCAGGTTCTTGGATACAAACTCCAGTATTCCTCCTGACATAAACCTTTGGTGACCCCGAGGATTCCACCAATATTGCTTTTCCTTTTGACTGCCCATTAGTCACCACCCCAATTGGTGAGCAGGAGACCGCAGAATCTGACTCTAGTAGCGGCTCTTTGTTATTCGTATCCAAGCCACCTTGCAAAAAAAAGTGAGAATCTCCCATTTCTTCATACAAAAAGCCCGGGTCTTCATCACAAAACAAATTACCTAAACCATATGACGCTGATGCCTCTTGAATTTGTAAGGGAGTGGCCGCAGCATAAGGAAGCGCCAAAGGAAGGTCATTCTCGCCGTCATTGGGCTGGGCCCGTGCTAGGTCTCCATACTGGTTCAAGGTCACCACCAGGCCTTCAATTGCTTGACTCCTGCAGCGCAGCCCATTGTTTGGTTTGAGGCCCCGCTCAGCCACCTCCCTAGCAGCAACAGAAGCTGGCCCACCATCACCTTTTTCCAAAAGTCTAGGCCCACCTCTCATTTTCCTCATCTGGTTTGGCCCGGATCCGCCGCCGATGTTGTTAGCAGGGAAGTTGCGCTGGTTTATCCCAGCTCTGGCCATTGAATGCCTAGCTCCCTCTGACGCATTGGTTGCCAGCGGAGGAGCTTCCAATTGAAGGCGCTGTTGCACCACCGGTCGAGGGCCTGGCCGTCCACCCTTTCGCCACACGTTTCCGCGTGGTCGGCCACCGTGTCGAGAAGCTGCATACGAGTTCTCGTTCAGCTTTGGTCCCGTTCTTTCACCCAACACCTCAGGTCCGAATCCATCCCCTCCTGGGATCAGATCGAAGGTACAATTGCGTTGATTGTGTCCAATGCGTCTGCAGCGGAAGCACACAGACTTAATATTTTCATATCTTAATGATACCCAAAACGTCGGCCCGACCGATCCATCATTTGCCCTTTTACGAGCTTCCAACCGATGTTCCAATGGGGCAGAAACATCAATAAGAACTTTGGCCTTGAACACGCAGCCTGGGTTGTCCCATACTGCATACATTGCCGCTTCCTCCACTGGTCCAAGTCTTGAAGCCAACAACCTTCCCAACGCCACCGTTCGGTACTCTTCCGGCAAGTCCCAAAACTGAACTGGGTAAGGAACCCGTGCGAGGTCAAGGAACAGCTGGGGAGTTGGTTTCTCCCACTTCTTCAGAGTCAGGATCTTCGACTGGATGAACCATGGGGCTTTGCTCAACGCTTCCTGGTAGTCCTCTTCATTAGCAAAAACCAATTGGAAAAGCCCATAACCAGCATCAAGGACTGTGACCGCAGCGCGCTTAGCCCAGATGTTATTAGCAGTGTGTTGCACCCTGATTCTGGAAGGATGTGACGAGCAAAGGAGTCTACCCACCAGGCTCAACCGTGCCCTGTTCACTCCAGCACCTAAGACTTCATCCGTGAATTCAATTGGGCCTGCCATAGTTGAGGGGCAGCGACGTACCAAGCTCTCTGTTTTGCGGAACAAAAGGCAGGGGAGAAGAATGAAGGACGAGCTTGAAGGGCTTTTAGTTGCAAGTACAGAATAGGGGAAAGAACTTGCACGGCTGGAACAGGGGAAGGTTAGTGCTGCTTTTGATAGCCTTTTAGCTTGCTCTGTTCTCAGAGATGGAAACAGGCAGGCTTTATCCTCTTCAGCCCAAATAGAGCCACTAATATCAATTATTTGTTGAACGTCAGCCGAGGGAGTAATAAGTCCATCATCAATACCCGGGCCGTTTCGAATGGTTATGGCCAGGGCCATTATTCCATTATACCCAATTAATGGTAATTGCAAAATTGCATCTCGATCTGGGCTAATGACAGTCCCAATTGCGCCCCTGCAGGTACGCTTCCCAGGCTTAAATGCAGCCTTAATTCCTCTAATGATGGAAACGAGGGGAAATATATTAATTGCCCGCAATACCATTAATGCCATAACGGTTCATCGGGGAATCATGGGGACCGGCCGTCAGCGTACACGGCGCCGGTAATTGGTTTGAAAGAAGGTTCTGGACCGAGGCTAAGCCTCCGGCGACAGGGTGTGATTTCCAAATCCGAGGAGAAATTAAGGGACGAGGATTGCGGTCAGTCGTTCCCCCCGGAATCAGTGAGCACGATTTGGGCGATATGGATTTCGAATGGAGGAAGACCCAGCTGAATCCGGGTTTAAATACATCTTTCGACTGCCTAGTTAAGGCGCTATCCGGTGGTTCCCGCCTGATTGTACCGTTGTTCCCTCCAGAATCATGTCGCCATCACCAATCCTTCGACCCAGATTCAACCTTCAGCAGTAGTGGTGCAAAAGCATAGGCTGGTGACTGTACTTTTGGGGTTTGGTACCAGAAGAATATAATCCAAGTACGATGGCGCCAGCTGAAGGGGACCGCTTCACCTTCCCGCCGTCCAAAGGGTTCGTGCTTGAAATTCAGCGGGAGCTGCAAAACTTGGAAAGAGTTCTGGATCCAGGAGGAGAACCCACCTTAGCCGCACCGGAGCGACTCCTTCATCTTCCCACCTTACCTGATTGGACGCACTCTGCTACTGGTGGCTTAATTGAGAGTTCCCCACCAGTTCAGGCACACACATCTCACTGTCAGAACCAGGTTCATCAAGGGATCCCCTTCCGAACCCGCCGCCGCCGCCACCAGCGAAGCTGCTCTTGCAATTTGCCCGGCTGCTGGAGGGCCTGGGTAGTGGACTTATTGGGCCCACCACCATCGCCGCCGTCAAAGCTCTGAATACACTGAACAATCTGCAACCACTTGTCTACCAATTGCAATTATCGCCGCCGGCTGCTGGTCGGCTGCTAAACCTTACCGTCTTGAGTTAATTTTTTTATTTATAAATACAGTTTTTCTTTGCTATACGTTTTTAGTTGTTAGAGTGTGGTATAAGATTCATCATAACCTTCTCTCAACGACTCGAGTTATTGGGATCAACAGGTTTATGACATGGTATCGGAGTCTGGTTTGACCAAGTGGTCGTGTGTTCGAATCTCCACGACCCCCAATATTAACTCCTTATTAAGCACAAGGTATGGTGGGCCTGTGCAAACTTCAACCCCGTGAGTTGGCTTTCGTTTGAGGGGGTGTGTTAGAGTGTGGTATAAGATTCATCATAACCTTCTCCCAATAACTCGAGTTATTGGGATCAACTGGTTTATGACATTAGTTACTGTTTCTTCCTTGTTATTTTCCTCTGTTATCAAGATCGCACTTGTAAGGATAAAGCTTTTGGACGTGCGTTGTCTAATCTTATTTTTCTGATTATGTCCAGTAGGCTCTTGCAGAAAGGGGGCTCTACAGCTTGTTCTTTCCAGGAAACGACATTCCATCATGGTTCGCCTATCAAACTGATGGCGACAGTATATCCTTTAGTGTTCCCCCACTGGCTCGAGGTTGTGACATCACTGGGTTTGTTACATGCACCATTTATGCTTGGGAACGGCCCCATGAGTCATGCTTTTTCATGCCGTACATCAGAATTTTCAACAGAACAAAGAAGTTCACTTGGGAGTACACTCCACATATCACCTTCTTCATGAATGAGAATCATAGAGAAACAACGTGGCTCTGCCATTGGATATTCGACACGAACGCGATGGTCTTAGATGATATAGACTCGGGTTGGAGGTTTCAGGATGAGACCGAGCAAGGTGACGAGCTTGAATTTTGTGTTGATATGGGGTTCGGCATTCAAGTAAGGAAATGCGCTGTCCATCCACTCTATGACTTTGCTCCTGCTCCTGCTGCTGATGGTGATCACAACCGGGATTCGGCCTCGTTTTTGGAGCTACTAAGTGCCATATCAACATCATCATCATCCAAGCATCGCAGGAGGTTTTCACAGTCACGGCCACGGTGGCTAACAATTGAGAACTCCCAGAGTGTTTGTGGGGAACTATATATCTCAAGCGGACCACGTAACGAAGGCTATGCTGAGTAAGTCTCTGCCTTACCATTTTTAATTGCTGGGCTTGGTGCAAGTAGGTAAACATAAGCCATTTGATGGGATGTCCCGTGTGGTGCAATGCCTAATATAATGCTTTTCTTATGTACATAGGTGGTCCCAGCAGAGGTCAAGAAGATTCATGGAGGTTGCTTTTAAATCTGCATCGATCGAAGAGATGGAGTTCGAGGAGGATGAAGATGACAGCGATTTCGGGTCTTATGATGGAGAAGAGGAGGAAGAAGATCAGGAATGGCTGGAGTACTGCGAGGATGACGACGATGAAGATGAAGACCAAGAAGAAGATAAAGATAGTGAACTTTCTGCTCGCTCTTCCGAAGAAGAAGGGGATGAAGAAACGGAGTAGTAATCTGTGTGGACTGTGGATCGGGGAGATCAGACCTGATCTTGGTGTAGCTGGAATCAGGAGTGAACAAGTTAGAATTGTAATTTGTAAGGATGTGATAGAAACCGAGGGTGAGAGGGGTGAGGATGGGTCGGTCGGCCGGCTGGGCCGGGTGGGGGAGTGACCATTTTGTTATTTTCCATTATTTTCCTTGAACTCCTAAAAAGGGATTCTGTACACTCATTTTGGGATTATGGAATAGAATATCAGAAATCCCTAATCCTATCTCTCTCTCTTGTTCTTCCCCAATTCCCCAAATCCCTAAATCTTCTTCTCTTCAATCCCTAATTCCCATTCTTAATCTCTTTCTCAACATCACGCTTCTATCATTTGGTATCAGAGCCTGGTTGAGTTCCTCGAGACTCACTGATCCGACCTGGGCTCGTACACGACAGCTGATCGAGTTCACGCTCTCTGAACTCCGGCGAGAGGCGCAGGACCAGGGGTGGACAGCAGCAGCGGCGGCCGAGGTGGCCGATCCAGTCGCGGCGGTCGCAGAACCGACGGGGCCGACGCGGCGCACGAGCGCGGCGGAGCGCGAGCTCGCGGCGTCAGCTGGCGGGGGACGCGCGATGGAGGCGGGCGGCGCGCGGCGAGTGGTGGCGGCTGGCGAGCGCCGCGGCGAGTCGGGCGACAGGGGAGGAGGCGCGCGCGCCGAGGCAGCGCCGGTAGGGGGGTGCGACGCCAGGCGTGGACGGCGGCAGCGAGCAGGGGCAGAGGATCGGCGACGTCGCTTCTCTCTCTCTACACTCGGCGACCGGGCTGCCTACGCCGGGCACGCTGCGATTCCAGGCTCGAGTGGGAGGGGTGACCGCGCTAACGTTGGTGGATAGCGGCACCTCGCTCAATTTCATTAGTGCCGAGCTTGCCGGGACTCTATCCATGGCGCCGAGTACAGTGGAGAAGATGGTGGTTCGGGTTGCGAATGGGGCGCCTATGCAGTGTACCACGGTTTATCGGGGGCTTGCTTTGGAGATTCAAGGCTTGCCGGTAACAGCTGATTTCTTTGTGTTACCCATCAGGGGATTTGATATTATCCTGGGCGTTCCTTGGTTGCAGAGTTTAGGACCGACTACCACCGATTGGAAGGGCTTGACCATGCGGTTTAAGTGGAGAGATAAGGAGTGGAGCTTACAAGGGCTTACCACTGCTTTGGGGCCCATTTCCATCCATGATAGCACCGAGATGGGAGAGGCGGACTTCGCCGTGCTGTGCTGGCCGATGGAGACTGGGGAGACCCAGGAGATGGCCCCTGATCTGCAGCTAGTCCTTGACAGGTTCGCCGTGATCTTCCAGGAACCGACTACTCTCCCGCCACATCGCCAGGTGGATCACGGAATTCAGCTGAAGGATGGGGTGGAAGCTGTTAATGTCCGACCCTACAGGTACGGTCACTCGCAGAAGGAGGAGATTGAGCGTCAGGTTGCTGAGATGCTGACTACCGGGCTGATCAGGTCCAGCACTAGCCCTTTTTCTTCACCGGTGCTTTTGGTCAAGAAAAAGGACGGGACCTGGCGGTTCTGCACTGACTACCGGGCACTCAACGCCGCGACAGTGAAGGACCGTTTCCCGATTCCGACGGTGGATGACATGCTTGATGAGCTGCACGGGTCCTCTTATTTCACTAAGCTCGACCTGAGGGCCGGCTATCACCAGATCCGGATGAGGGAGGAGGATGCACACAAGACAGCCTTCCGGACCCATAACGGCCATTATGAGTACCTGGTAATGCCGTTCGGGTTGTGCAATGCCCCTTCGACCTTCCAGGCAGCTATGAACGACATCTTCCGGCCCCTGCTTCGTCGGTACGTTCTGGTCTTTTTTGATGACATTCTTATTTACAGCCCGACATGGGAGGCCCATTTGCAGCATTTGCAGGCTGTGTTTGAGATTTTGCAGCAGCACCAGTATTACCTCAAGGCTTCAAAATGTGCCTTTGGGGTTCAGAAGGTGGAGTATCTGGGGCACATTGTCACGCCTCAGGGAGTACAGGTGGACCAGAAGAAGATCCAAGCCATGGTGGAGTGGCCGACCCCGACCACTGTCACTGAACTACGGGGATTCCTGGGCTTGACAGGTTATTACCGGAAGTTTGTACAGGGCTACAGCATGATTGCTCGGCCCTTGACTAATCTGTTGAAGAAAGGCGGGTTCGTTTGGACTGCAGAGGCCGATGCAGCATTCTGCCAGCTGAAGCAGGCCATGACCACCACCCCGACTCTGGTTATGCCTGACTTCTCTCGCACCTTTGTTATTGAGGCAGACGCATCGGGCCGGGGCATTGGAGCAGTGTTATCGCAGGATAAGCACCCGGTGGCCTTCATGAGTAAGACTTTGGCGCCGTCCAAGGAGGCTTGGTCCACCTACTAGAAGGAGATGCAGGCTATCATTACGGCAGTTCAGATGTGGAGGCCCTACCTTCTGGGACAAAAGTTCCACATTTACACCGATCATCAGAGTCTGAGGAATTTATTGGAGCAGCGAGTTTCCACTCCAGATCAGCACAAGTGGGTCTCCAAGCTCCTGGGGTATGATTATGAGATTCACTACCGCCCCGGACCATCTAATGTCGTGGCGGATGGTCTATCGAGGCGCCCCGGGAGTGAGATTTTGGCGGCAGTTACAGGACCAGTACCTCAGTTTTGGGACGTTCTGCGAGCTCTTATGGAGACGGACGAGTATCTGCAGGGATGCCGTGAGATAGCGGTTAGCGCCGATCCCGGTCACTACTCTTGTCGGCAGGGGTTGGTGTTCTTCCGAGGGCGGGTGGTGATTCCCCGGGGGTCGTCCCTAGTGACGACAGTGTTGCAGGAGTTCCATGACTCTCCGTTTGGAGGGCATTCAGGGGTGGAGAGGACACTGAGGAGGATCCGAGCCCAGTTCTATTGGCCCCAGATGGGCCGGGATGTGAAGGACTATGTTGCATCTTGTGACACCTGTCAGAGAGTAAAGGCATCCCATCTGCGACCGGCGGGTCTCCTGCAGCCGTTACCAGTGCCGGAAAGGGTGTGGGAGGACATCAGTATGGATTTTATTGTCGGGTTGCCACCATCTGGAGGAAAGACCGTCCTGTTCGTCGTCGTGGATCGACTGACGAAGTACGCCCATTTCATGGCCCTGGCACACCCGTATACCGCGCGATCAGTGGCTGAGCAGTTTGTCTTAGGGGTGGTCCGGCATCACGGCTTTCCGAGGTCCATTGTCAGCGACCGAGACTCCGTTTTCTTGAGTCGTTTTTGGCAGGAGGTGTTTACGTTGGCTCGGACCCAGTTGCGGATGAGTTCGGCATATCACCCCCAGACTGATGGCCAGACGAAGGTGGTTAACCGCTATTTGGAGCAGTATTTGCGTTGTTTCACCCATCAGCAGCCTCGACGGTGGCTAGCATATTTACCATGGGCCGAGCTATGGTATAACTCCACGTACCATAGGGCCATCCAGATGACACCGTTTGAGGCTTTGTATGGGCGTCCCCCACCTTCTCTGGTACGTTATCAGGCGGGTTCCAGCCCAGTGGATGCAGTGGATCGGTGGTTAGGAGAGCGGGATGAGGCTTTGGATCAGCTCAAGGCTAATCTGGCGGCTGCCAATAACAAGATGAAACAACTGGCTGATGCAGGGCGACGAGAGGAGGAGTTCGAGGTGGGTGACTGGGTTCTGCTCCGTCTGCATCCCTACAGGCAGGCTTCTGTATTCCGACGGGCATATCAGAAGTTGGCGGCACGGTACTTTGGCCCGTATGAGGTGTTGCAGAAGGTTAATCCGGTGGCCTATCGTCTACAGCTACCAGCCGATTCGCGCATTCACTCTACCTTTCATGTGTCCCTCTTGAAGAGGTACCGCGGCGCGGCTGATCGAGTGGAGACAACTGCACCTCCGGTGTCGGCAGACGGTGATCTCGAGCTGGTTCCATTGCAGGTGATAGACACCAGGTGGGTCAAGAAGGGCGGGCGCGTGATCGAGGAAAGCCTGGTCCTGTGGCAGCACATGGAGCGGGAGGACGCCACTTGGGAGGAGACTGCTACCCTTCGGCAGCGGTTCCCGACATTCGACCTTGAGGACAAGGTCGCTTCTGATGGGGAAGGGGATGATAGAAACCGAGGGTGAGAGGGGTGAGGATGGGTCGGTCGGCCGGCTGGGCCGGGTGGGGGAGTGACCATTTTGTTATTTTCCATTATTTTCCTTGAACTCCTAAAAAGGGATTCTGTACACTCATTTTGGGATTATGGAATAGAATATCAGAAATCCCTAATCCTATCTCTCTCTTGTTCTTCCCCAATTCCCCAAATCCCTAAATCTTCTTCTCTTCAATCCCTAATTCCCATTCTTAATCTCTTTCTCAACATCACGCTTCTATCAGGATGATAAAGCTTGATTTCAAGATTAACGTTGTTCTTGTTATTGCTGTTGTCATTACTTGTGGTGGAAACTAATTTGGCAGTAGGATGCCATTTGAGTTGAGCTATGCTTTATTCGTAATTTGTTCACGTCAATTTCTGGCAAGTTCAGGATCAATGTCAAGAAGCCAACAGCTACACATGAAGAGTATACATAGCTGCATAGTCTGTTCAAGAATGCTTGTTATCCAAACAACTGTTCAAGAATGCAAGTCTATTGTGTTGAAAAGCTTGCTGCAAAATACTGATGTGTTCTTGCAAAAGAGTGATTTGGTGCGCGATTAATTGATAATGTAGTAGCGGATATAGGTGTCCAGGCGAATTGCGATGAAGATATGGTCTGCACTTTCTCCTCCTACTTTCTCTTGGGAGAACTGAAATTATCACTTGTTATGTAACAATCCAAATATCACATCAAAAATACAAGAGAAGAAACTCTTGTATATTAGTGTCCAACTAGCCCAATTAGTATGAGGTAGTTTGGGAAACGGGCTTGGTCCAAAGCGGACAATATCGTACTAATGGAGCTACCAAATTTCGACAAGCGGTATCAGAGCCCGATTCAATGCGTTCGGAGCGGTGGATTTGAGATTTGCCTCTGAGAAGTATTAGTTTGTATACTTAAGTTATCTATGGTGTCCACTTTATAATATTAATTTTTAATTCTATTTTATGGTTTATATACTTTGTTGCACTAGTTTGTATATTATTTATTGTCGGTTAGTATATTTTTATAATCGGGTTTGTATATTTTGTGTTGATTTGTATACCATGGTTTGAAAATAGACCATGGCATCATCGGGAGAATCTGTTGTTTCTCTGCAAATGGGAGCCCGAGATCAGCCCACTAAAGATTGATAATTCTGTGTTGCCTTTGTGGATCAAGCTTTGTAACTTGCCAACAGAGCTCACATCCAAGGAAGGGTTAGAAAGAGTGGCTAGTTCATTGGGTCGACCGTTGTACGGATAAATCTACAACTCATGGTTGAAAAGTGGGTTTTGCACAAATTTGTGTGGAGGTCAAGGCAACTGCTAAGAAGGTAAGGAAGCTGAGTGTCACCCCGGATGGATTGCCAGAACTATTTATTGATGTTGTGTATTGTCATATGCCAAAAGTTTGTGAGAAATATAATTGTGCTCAGCCAGTGGGAGTTCAACAACATATATGGACTAAGAAAGATAGGTGAAATTCCAGAAAATCAGGAAATCCCAGTAGCTATAGGCACTCAGAAGAATGATTCTCAGACAATAGAAGTTGAGCTGGTGTCTCAGGAGAAGGCGAAAGCTTCTCTGGTAGAAGCTGAAGCACAAAAAAAGAAGGGAAGGAGGTTGCAGAGGAAGTGATTCCAGATGAGGCAAAAAATGTGACACATACCCTTTCTCCAAGAAGTGGATTGGTGGATAAGGATGGTTTTACTCTGGTGGTTCACAGGAAGTAGAAAGTGTGGATTGGTTGGTTCAAGTAGTAAGGGGGTTCAGAGGCAGGCTTTCATTGATGAAAGAACTTATCCCAGTTTGAACAGAAGTAGAGCAGGTGTCAGACCTTTGGTCAACTGCCCTCCTTCTCCTCCTAAAGGGAGAGGAAGAGTCCAAAAGAGAGATAAATGAAGTTGTTAAACTAGAATATCAGGGGATTCAATTCTCCTGATAAGCACTCAGTTGTTTTAGAGCAGTTGAGGGTAAAGAATATAGATATAGTAGGCCTACAAGAAAATAGAGTGACAGGAGAAAATAGTAAGGCAATAATGACATGTGCTTTTTCTGCCTGACAAAATTTAGATAACTATGCTAAGTCAAAACTGGGGAGAGTGGATTTTTTGGAGAGCAGGATTGTAGGTTACTCGTTTAGAAGAGGTTGAACATTTTATACAGATACTTGTAGAGGTTGCAAAGTCATTTATGGTAGTTTTGGTTTATAGTCCTAATAAGGAGGCAGAGAGGAAGTTACTTTATCGGGAGATGCTATTAAGGAAAGATGATGTGGAACTTCTTCTTTACTGTCATGGGAAGCGGTTTCCCTCTGGTTTCCTTAAGCTGTTGTATGCCTGTATAACTACTCCAACTATTAAAGTGTTAGCTAATGGGGGGCTATGTGGGAACATCAAAGCATGTAAAGGATTGAGGCAGGAAGACCCTCTGTATCCCTAGATGTTCATAATAGCAATGTAAGTTTTTGATTGTTTGGCTAGGAAGGCGGTGCTTGAGAATCGGATTCCCTTTCATCCCAGGTGTAAGCCTCTTATGATAACACATTTGTGTTTTGTGGATGAATTAATGATGTTCACAAACGGCTCAATTATAGGGGTTGCTGTGATAAGGAGATTAATGGACAGTTTCGACAAGATTTCAGGGTTGAGATGCAAAGTGCCAACTATTTTGTGCAGGGATTTCCAAAGAGGAGATGTCTTCCATATCTGCTTATACTGAGTTCCCTCTAGGAACTCTCCTAGTGAAGTATCTAGGCGTTCCACTGATTACAGGAAAGCTCACAATGCAAGATTGTTAGGTATTAGTGGATAAAATTACTCAACGATTAAGAAGTTGGAGATCTAAGTTATTGAGCTTTGCTAGCAAGATTCAGCTTATAACAACAGTCATCTCTAGCACTCTCCAGTATTGGCTTTATATTTTTTTGTTGCTTCAGTTCGTTATCAAGGAAGTTGAGAGACTTTGTAATGAATTTTTATAAGATTCATCTGAGGATGGGGTCAGGAAAAAGGCAATAATGGCTTAGGATAAATTGGAAATTCCTAAGAAAAAAAGTGGGCTTGGAATTCTCAATTTTAGTATATGGAACAAAGTTTGTGTCCTGAGGCATATATGGGAGATTCTGACTTCTGGGGGGTTCAACCTTTAGTATACAAAAGGTGTTCAACAACTAAGAGGTCGTTTGCTTGTGATATTTTAAAAAATGAAAATTTTTGGTAAAACCTTGAATTTTGGGATTGAAGGATTATGTTGGATTTTAAAAATTGCATGTATACTTGTTGGATTTCAAAATGGACTTTATTATCTTGGATTTATGGGTTAAATAATGAGTTTACCTTCTTATCCTTCTTCCTATCATCATAAAGTTTTTTTTTTTTTTGTTAAGGATACTTTGATCATTCATAGTTAGTGGGGTCCACGGATTTTTTCACTTCTCAAAATCTTACCTCATGAGGTGGGGTTTTATAATCCATGGGGTCCATGGATTTTGAGCAAAAGAAAATTCCACATTTGTGGGCTCCACGGATCTAGGTCAATTTCATTTTTATCAACAAACATGGATCTGGATCATAATCCAACACATATGAGCTTTTGAGGTAAAATCCCTCATCGAAATCCTACAAGCAAACGACCTCTAAAAATTGGCATGACCTAAGACACTGATTCTAGAGATCAATGGAAGCAGCAAAATCACCTGAGGAATGCACCGATTGAGGTGAAGAGGAAGAGAATAAAGTCCATCAATCGTAGAGCCATAATAAAGTTCATGCTTCGTGTGGCGGTCCTTGATGACAAAATAATAATCTAAGAATTCAATGAAGACGGGGTTAAAGCGAGTAAGAGAAATGACGGAAAGAAGATTATGAGGTGCATTTTAACACTAAAAATGTTATCAAGAGACATAGATTAATCTGGCACAAGAGCGATAGAGGAGCAAGAATGAGTGATGGGGAGAGATTTACCATTACCAAAAGTGACTTGATCGAAACCATTATGCTCAGAATAATGGGCCAGATTATCCAAATCAAAGGTGATATGATGATTTGTACCAAAATTGAGAAGCCATTATTGAGGAGAATGAACAGGTTAGGAGGATTGGGCTAGGTACAAAGATGGGCGAGAAGAAGAGGTGTTGTAGACTTGGTAATTGAGCCGAATATGACCCATTCCCCCATAATTATGGTAGACAACAACCTATTACTATGACGTACTAAGAACTCCTACAAACAAAGGCTTTGTAAATGAGTTAGGATAACAAGTCGATATGGGCTGAGATTGAGGGATTGAATATGCGGACGAGTGGGCCAAGACTTGTTGTTGAGCCTGTAGATAGCGGCCGCGACCTCTGCCTCTATTAGCATGACCTCCACGACTTTGTAAAAGTGTGTTTTAAGAAACTTGTGAACTGCTTTAGTAAACTTATTGTCTGTTTTATGAGGTTTATTTGGTGCTTCGAGGAACTTGTGGCATGTTTTGAGAAACTTGTAGTTTCATATGTAAATTACAGTTTGATACCTACACTTAATAGATTTTGAGATTCAGTACCTAAAATTAAAATTTTGTACATATAAATCCTACAAATATGATGGAAGATTACATTTTAGTACCTAAAATTATTATCTCTTGCATGTGCCTCCTCATTGACAAATTGGTCCACATTCGTGTGCCTGCTAATTTTGTATAATAAAAATAACAAACATGTTCCTCTATTTATAATTGTGTTCAACTCTTTGGAATAAAAACTTATCAAAACTAAATGTTTTTTAACGTCTCGTTTTGATTAAACTCTTATTTTGATCTCTAAGAATATACACGATTAAAATTGAGTGTTTTCGATAATATTTCGTCAAAAATCAGAATATCAATTGATCGGAGAACTATACATTCAAAACATATTTTTCATGTTAGGAAGAAAAAATCTTAAATAAAAAACTATCGTACAATCTACAAAAAATATTATAAAAAATACCACTATACTTGTGAGTAAGGCTGTCCATTTGGATTTGGTTTTTTGGTTTTAACCGAAACCAAACCAATTGGAAAGCTAATGGTTTCAGTTTTTTGGTTTTAAACCAATAAGCAACTTAATGGTTTTGGTTTGGTTAAAACCGGAAAACCAATAGAAACCATGAAGAAACCAATAAGCATAAAATGATTTATCAACAATTTTTTTTTGTTTCTTTTGACACGCATGCCAACCAATAATTTGTAATGGCCATTTACCATTATTATGACGTTTATTCAAAAAAAAAGGAGGGAAATAGGAATAAATATGAGTGTATGAGTACATATTGGTTTTTTAGTTTTGGTTTTTGGGATTTGGTTTTTGGTTATTTATACTTAATGGTTTGGTTAACCAAACTAAACCAAATTGACAGCCCTACTTGTGAGCCTCCCCCATTGAAGATTTCATATTTTAATTTTTTAGTATCCGGATGATATTGTTCAATTTGCATTAGATTAATTCGATGATGTCCATTTCCAAAATATAGCAGGAAATAATAAATGTATTAATTGATTGATTAGCGCCATTTCGGTTAATAATTGATAGTTATTTGTCCATTCATATATTTGACCCATGCATTTATACCCACTCTGCCCCTCGCACCACCTTTTTAAGGACTTTTCAAAGTGCATAATTTCGACATTAACTCCAAAATTGATTCTCAATGAAACGAAGGAAATTCTTAACTTTTGGCGAGTTAACGTTGATTCTAAACGTGGATTTCAACGTGAAATGGAAAAATGAGGGTTTGATTTCGTGTCTTACAAAAATTCCTTTTCTATATGCTAAATTTCTTCATAATTTTGAACTTAAACGCATAGATAACACTCAGTAATTATACAATTCTTATCAGGTTGATGGGAGTCCTGACGACCCAAGGCTTCATTAATTAAAATTCTAATAAAAATGAATGCTCAAATAAAAATCTTTTATCGATTAGAGTCTCATTCCCCAAAGCAAGAATATCACATAAAATTTTAGCCTTATTTGTGTTTGATACTTCGATTTTTGATTTTATCATTGTAGTTTTGTTATCGGATGTCCCCCAAGTTACATACTTACATTGTAGATTTGTAGTTGAGTTATAGTATGGTGATGAGTCGATAAAGAAACCTACAGTCAGTTAAGTTCGAGACAATACCGCCAAATCGTAACAGAATAAAGTGATAAAAGACAGCCCATCGGAAACAAGCGAGAGAAAGTGACAAAATGAAGAAGAAGAAGAAAAAAAAAAGGCCAACTCATTCAAACAACACTGCCAAAGCTTTCCCCTGCAACAGCTACCGTAAATCCGTTTTCACCCTAATGCCAAGAGTTAATTAATAATAATTTGTTTATTTTTCAAAAAAAAATAAGCAAACAGACAAATTAAAGTTGGAAAAAGAGAGAAAAGAACAGAACCGTTAAGTCCCATGCATGCCGCAACGTGTAATCACCAGGCCGGCCGGTGAGCGCCAAAAACACCACACCATCCAACAAAGTTATTAATTATATTACCCGCGGCAGGGATGGCAATGGGTCGGGTCGAGACGGATAGTGCATATCCGTTACTCTACCCAAAGTAATTCGGGTTTTACCCCTATTCATACCTACATAAGAAACGAGTAGAAAATCCAAACCACGCTCATACTCGTTCGGATTTCGGGTATCCACGGTTATCCATGGGTAAAATTTTCTCTCCAAAACTCCAACCAATATGTTAATATTCACATGTACTCTCACCTTACGTAATGCGAAAAGTACAACAATATGAAAAAAATCAATTAAAACAACGCAATTTCATAAAAATATTATATTTATATGCTAAATATAAAATAAGTTAGAGAAAAATATTAATTATTTCTAGACAAAATACATATGCATGTGTATAATCGGGCGTGTTCGGGATGGATAGTGAAAAAAATCATGCCCACCGATTACCCGCAAAATTCGGGTTCGGGTTTTAGCCGTGCCCATTAAATGTCTTTCGGGTTCGAGTTTTACCCTACCCAATTAGGTTGGATTCGGACGGATATCCACGGTTACCGATATTTTTTGCCATCCCTACCCGCGTCTAGCCTGCTAATCATAACGTCCTAATTTTAAGTAGAAAGAAGAAAAAACGCTTCCCATGCATTTAACGTACTTGTTTAAAAAAAAAACACTCTCTCCCATCCGGTCCACCACCCTACTTAATACTAATCACCATTCTTTCGCCAATGACACCTTGTTAATGACAATCAATTTCAATTACTAATCACCCATTATCGTCCACTAATTACTTCCCCCTTCCCTATCATTTTTCATGTGTGCCCTCTCAACGGTAAGAAATTCGCTACCTCACCACTTTCCACTATATATATATATTCACCCTCAACCCTTACAAAAACATAATAAAATCATTCATCAAACCTTTGAATCAGCTAGAGAGCTCTAGCTAGCCATGGGTTTCGAGGCAGTCGTTTCCACCATGATCATGACGGCGTCGTTTCTTCTCGGCGTCACGGAAGCTTTCCAGTTCCCCGTCGGCGGCAAACAAGGCTGGGTCGTCGAGCCCAAGGAGAGATACGGCCATTGGGCCGAGCGCCTCCGTTTCCAAGTCAACGACACGCTCTGTAAACCAACTTTATCAACAAAACAAAAAAAAAAACTCGTCAATTATCTATTCTTGATCTTTAATTACAGGAGATAATTCCGTGATTAAATTTTTGTACGGCAGATTTCAAGTACGAGAAGGGAAGGGACTCGGTGCTGGTGGTGAAAAAGGGCGAGTACGACAACTGCAACGCCTCCGCGCCGGTCCAGGCGTTCACCGAGGGCAACTCGCTCTTCCGGTTGGACCGGTCCGGTCCGTTCTTCTTCATCTCGGGATTCGCTGACCACTGCGCCAAAGGGCAGAAGCTGGTCGTCGTCGTCTTGTCCGAGCACCACAAGAAACCTACCCCCTCGCCGCCAGCTGCTCCAACGCCGTCTCCCAGCTCCGTCGTCACTCCTCCTCCGCCTCCCGCTGCGGCGGCGTTGCCCCCTACAGATGCTGTAACGCCTCCAGCCGCGGCGCCGACTCCGGTGGCCAATATTAACTCGGGGGCAGGGGTGGCGCTCCGATTCACGGTTGGGGCGTCGCTTGCAGGATTATTGGGGTTGGCTGTGATTTTCTTTTAATTCGGTTTGTGGGGTAATTTGGAGATGGAGTTACCAGTGTTGAACTGTTGATTGACTAGCTAGGGTGATGGGAGTTTTTTTTTTTTTTGTTTAATTTCTTTTTAACCGTTTTGACTTTATGATGTTGGAAGGTGGAACTGCTGTAATTTTTTTTTTTTTTTATGTTATGGTTTATTTGAAAACTGAAATCAATGTAGTCTAGTGACTCCAGTCTGGTACGATTGTGGGTTAGTTTCCTTCTTTAATTAATGTTTCCGTTTGGGATGGCAGGAGAATTCATTTTGCGGGTCAGGTTTGAGTTTAAACCCGCTGTAAGTTTTGCGGATTGGGTTGGGTTTGGATTTAGTCATATCCAACTCGTGGATACCCACATCCAAGTCCATACCCCCACGACCCACGGAACCCTTAACTAATTAATAATTCTCATATGTTCAATTAATCATATTGTTTGTAGATGTTTATCTTTAATATTGAACAATTAGTATGAATGATTTGTCAGTTAGTGTGTATGTAGTAGACAATAGTAGTGAAACCTAGTGTAATTGCATCTTTGTGAACTCATGGGTACCCATGAACCCGCGGATACCTGACGGGTTGGGTTGGGTTTGAGTTTTCCAAATCCAGTGGGTTTTACCCCATTTTTGTGTGTTGATAAACCCATGAGTGGGTTTGACAATAACCCGCTCCAAACTGCCCCATTGCCATCCCTACTTGTCTGTGTGGTGGAAATATTTGTCAACGTTTTCGGTTTTCATCTTTAATTTGTTTGTCTACCTTTGATAAAAAAAATTTATAGGAGAAGAAATTCGTCTTGCGATGGCAAACCCCGGGCCCATAGATATACAGTACTCTTTGATATCTTTGGTTAAACACACCTCAAAAGTTTTAAAGTAGATCATATAAGTTTCTTAGAAAGTACAAAGATATCATAAAACATATCACAATTTTATTAAAGTAGACTATAAATTTGTTGAAACACATTATAAATCTCATAAAAACAAACCACGAGTTTATTAAAGTATCATCCAAAATCTAAGACCCCAACCTAAGTACCTGTAAGAAACAAGGATCTAGGCGCGTACGGAGAGTCGGGAATTGCTGGATAATTGGAAAAAAGGGGATATAATTAGAGATTTGATTGAGGAAAAAGAGGATCGAGAAGAATAAGAAAATTCGGCCGGGTGAATGGGGTTGATAGTTTGGGAGAGAAAAAGAGAGAAAATTCTGGGAAAGATTAGGGATTAGGGAATAAATATTTGCAAGGAATTCTTTCCAAAGGATCCATCCATGTTGCAAGGAAAAAGGGAAGAATTTGGCTAAGTGTTCAACCCGTTTCATGGTGCTTACTTTGGAGCTTCATATCTTACATCCTAGTCGATGGACATGCAAGAGAAAGGTTGGAAAGTGAAGTACAAGAGTTTGTCTACAACTCTGAATGGTTGGTTGCTCAATTACAAGCCATTAAGTGCATGAACAAGGGGTCCAAGTTGCTCTGAAGAAACTTAGAAATTGCCTGATTTTTGGCTAAGTCTTAAGACAGTTCGAGATGCTTACTCCGAAGGCTTATAACGAATGGGTTACATTTGAAGGGAACTGGGAGTTGGAGATTGAACTGGTGACTTGGAGAAGAATTGACTGAAGCCCGATTGGTTCGAAGCTTCTTGGAAAGCTTCGAACGAAAACCCTCAAAGTAACTATGAAGGCTGAGTTTCCTCACTTGCGCAGGAAGGCAGCAACTTGTGTGTTAAGCAACCAAGCATTCTTTCCTTTTTCTGATTTGGATTTATGTTTCCTCGTTAGAGTTAGAGTTAGATTTGATTCCTTGTTCATTTAGAAGTAGATTTTAGTTTGTTGATTTTCATTTAAAGACTTAAGAGCCTCAATGTAAGTTAGTTTTTTGGTTAAATGGAAGAACACGTGACTTTGTCACCAAACCCTTGCGTTGTTGGTTGTGTTCCAGCTTCGTTTGTGCTTCGTATCGATTAAAATCACATCAATCGTGGTCGAGCTTCGATCATAATCCAATTGAGCCTCTTCCTTTGTGAGAATTTGTACCTTTAGTTTCGTTTTAGTTTTAGTTTCTCAAATTCAATCAAGTTCTTTTCGATTAAATCTCAAGTGCGTGGCTCTGATAATCAAAAGCAAGGATTTTGCTTGCATCAGTTGAGATGCCCTTAGTAGACGTAATCAGAAGAATCACGAAGTACTCTAAACATATGAAGGACTTCCTAGCTCATAAGAGAGAATGACTTGATGCAACATCTCTACTCTGCCGCAATTACACAATATACTCTGCCAAACAAATTAAGGTATCAAGAGAGTTTTACTCTACCTTGCACTATTGACACAATGAACTTTAATGATTGTCTAGCCAACCTATGAGCTAGTATCAATGTTATTCCTGCATGTGTTTTTAAGAATCGCAAGACAAAGAAGCCCCTTGCACCTACTCAGATGACCATCAAACTAGCATATAAAACTTCTAAAAATCCTAAATGAGTATGAAGGTGCTTTAGTTAAAGTTGGACCTTTTTATTTCCCTCCAAATTTGGTTATAATGGATACTGATGATCATGACTCTACTTTACTACTAGGTAGATCCTTTTTGGAAACCACAAGAGTTGTGATGGACGTGCATGACCAAAAGCTGACATTGAGGATAAGAACATAAGCTGCCAACTTCAATCAAAGAAAGGAACACAAACATAGCTGCTCAACATGGGATGAGGACTCTTAAGGAGAAGAATGATCTCAAGCCAATATTCTCCATTGATGATATAAAAACTGACGATCCGCTAGAGCAAGGAGAACGAGAATACTTCCGTGAACTGGATCATCTATCCCATTTCAGACAGCAAGTGGGTGAGCCCTATCAAGTGGTGCCAAATAAGAGAGGGATACCCGTCGTACCCAATTAAAATGGAGATCTTATTCCTCAAAGAAAGTAGGATGGAGAGTATGCATCGACTATGAAAAGCTTAATCTGGCTACGTGAAAGGATCACTTCCATCTACCATTGATCAACCAAATGCTCAAAACATTCGCTGGCCACGCCTTCTATTGTTTCGTAGATGGAATGTTGGGCTACTTTCAAATGCCCATTGCACCTCAAGATCTCGAAATTATTATCAATTTCGCAGAACCAAATCCCTCATCTAAACCACTCATGTGATTATTATATGCTTCAATTCTTCCACGGCATCGCACCACTTAGTATGTTTGTTTTCTACTCATCAGTCATCTGCAATTCAAAGAACAATGGGCAAACGAAGAGAGCAAAATTGGGCTTCTTAATTTTATTAGGAATACCACAAATAAATTCTCTAAAATTTTTGTACGAATTTAGACCCAAAATCCTTCCTCAAAATTAAATCTGTCGTCCGAACGATCTCATATGATTATTATTATTTGCTCTTATTCCTTTACGACACCGCACCAACTTACTATGTTTGTCTTGGGCTTATGAAAAAGTGGGATTTTTGTTTTCCAACCCTCCTGCTAATAATGGGCATGTAAGCCAAGACTAGGGCTGTCAATTCGGTTTCCGGTTAGCGGCTAACCGGCCGGTCTAACCGTTAACCGCCGGTTAGCGGCTAACCGAAAACCGGGGAAAATCATACGCGGTCGGGTGTCGGTAGCTGGTTGTGGGCAGGCGGTTAGCCGAGTAACCGTAGCCGGTTAACCGGCTAACCAGCTCTAACCGACCGGGTGATACGACGCCGTTTTGGACAGTGAGAATTGAGAAATCGACCCCAACCCTAGACCCTCTTCGACCTTCGCTTCCCCTTCGCACTTCCATCCGCCGCCCTAACCCTCTTCGTCAATCGACAGTCGCCACTCTCCCCCCACAGCCGGCGACCCCCTCCTTTTCCCTCCGACCCCTTCCTTCCCCCGCCGGTCGCCTTTTCCCTCCGACTCCTTCCTTCCCCCGCCGGTCGCCTTTTCCCTTCGATAGTCCCAGCCTCCCAGGCTCCCAGCCCTCCGACCACCGCCTTCCTTCTCCAGTTCTCCCTCGACGTCGCCTCCACCTCGACGTCGGCCCGCCGCCCTCCTTCTCCAGTTCTCTGACTCACGACCGCCGCCTCCACCTCGACGTCGCCCCGCCGCTCGCCCCGCCGCCCTCCTTCTCGTCGCCCCGCCGCCCTCCAGAAGGAAGCAGCAGCTCCTCGCGACCTCACCAATTTTGAAGCACCCCGCGCCCTTTCCCCATCTAAAAAGGGCCTGCAAATTATGTATGTAGAAATTAGAATGATTTTGGTGGATTGGTGATGATTTTGGTGGATTTATGTGGAATTGTCAATTGTCGAATGATTTTGGTGGATTGGAATGGTGGTTTTGGTGGATTGAAAGTAGATTGTTGAATGATTTTTGGTGGATTGGTGTTTGGTGATGATTTTGAACATATAATGATGATTATTGATTCAGTGGATTTACTTGTTGGCTGCTGCATTGTCGAATTGGGTTACATGATGCTGCAAGGGGTTTTGTTTGAGTTGAATGGTTGTTGAGTTGAGGAAAAGGAATGATTTGGAACTCCTAAGAAATTAAGTTGCCAAAAGAGTGGAAGAGGAATTACAACTTACAATTTTGCCTCCAGTGTTACTGCTTTCTTAGTTGATTGCTGTCAATATCGATTGATGAATGATGATGATTGTTAGTTGTTAGATTGTTAGAATTTGTGAATTTAGTTTTCAATTTTAAATTTGTGTAACTGTTGATGTAGGGCGAGACCTCCGGCTCCACGTGGTGGACGTGGCGGACGAGGTGCACCATCCGCTGATACTGCTTCTCGTGGTGGGAGACCTCCGGCTTCTCGAGGTCGTGGTGGTGCGGGTGCCTCAGCCCCTCCTACTCAGAATCGGGGTCGTGGTGGACGTACAGGAAGTCGTCCTATTCAGTCTGGTGAACCGTCAGCGTCGGCATCAATTGCATCGATTCCCGCCCATGTCGGTAGTGGAAGTACACCTGCTGCTGAGGCTCCTTCAGCAGAAACGGTTAATCCGGCTCCAAATAAAGCTTCTTTAGATCCCTTCAATCTAGGGAAATGGTTGGAAACAGCAGGTACAGCTGATTGCTGGAAGGACTTTACGAAGGTGGCGGTGGATGAGTATCCGTTTGGAGAGTGCAAGCATTGTCACACTAAGATCAAAGCACATCCATCCAGGAACAGCACTTCTGCAATGAATAACCATCGGAGGACATGTTTGGCTAAGGTTGCAGCATCCAAGGATCAGACTGTTCTAAACTTGCAGGCCGCAGATGGTAGTCAAGTAAGTGCTTTATGGAAATTTGATCAAGCAAAAGCAAGATATGCATTAGCCATGATGATTATAATGGATGAGTTGTCTTTTCGCTTTGTGGAAAGAGACGGGTTTAAGCAGTTTATGCATACGGTTCAGCCACTGTTTAAGATACCTGGGAGGAGAGGTATAAGAGATGATTGCTTTCATATATTCTTGGAGAAAAAGATGAATTTGATAGAGTTTTTTGAATCAAAGAGCAAAGGCAGAGTTTCAATCACCACAGATACGTGGACTTCTGACAACAACAAAAATTACATGTGTGTGACTGCTCACTTTGTTGGAGGTGATTGGAAATTGCAGAAGAAGGTGATCTCCTTTGTTCCCATCACAAGTCATACAGGAAATGATATTGCAGAGAAGCTTGCAGAAGTTCTTGAAGAATGGAAGGTGAAGAATTTGTTCTGCATGACAATGGACAATGCATCTACAAATGATATTGTGAGTGATTGCATGAGAAGGAAATTAAAGGCGTGGGGTGGTGATTTGATGGATGGGAAGTATCTGCAGTTTTGATGTGTCGCACACATCATTAATCTGGTAGTGCAGGATGGATTGAAAGTAATCGGAGGAGCTGTGGATAGAATTCGGGACTGTGTGAAGTGGGTGAGGTCATCGCCAGCTAGGTTGGCAAGGTTCAAGACTGCTATGCAATTTCTGGAGTTGGATTCTACCAAATTGGTGTGTTTGGATGTACCGACCAGGTGGAACTCCACCTATATCATGTTAGAAGCAGCAGAGAGGTTTGGTGGAGTGTTTACCACTTTGTATACAAGTATACATGACCATTCCTTCAGGGATTATATTGACGCAAGAGGTGGTCTTCCAACTGAACATGATTGGAGTCTGATTAGAAAGTTGATGAAGTATCTGAAGGTCTTTAATGACTTTACCCTCCTAGTCTCGGGTAAGTGAAATTTGACAATTTTTTAATTTTAATTTGAACATTTGTCAATTTTTATTTTAAGGAACTAAATATGTGACTACCCATCTTTTCTTCAAGAAACTTGTTCCAATTTATGACATCATTCAAGAATTGAAGAATGATCCGCATGAAGAGCTCAAAAGGATGGTAGAAAAGGTTGAAGAAAAGGTACGAAGGTATTGGTTTGACACACCTATCATGAATGAGGAGAATCCTCGGGTTAATCATTTAATCTATATAGCGTGTGTGCTTGATCCTAGAAGTAAACTTGATCTTGTGTCTGAAGTGTTGGTAATGATTTATGGAAGTCTCAAAGGAATGGAAATTCAGACTAGGATTAAAAGGGAGATGCGGCAGATGTTTGAGATTTATAAGAGGAAGTATGGATCAGAGTTAGCATCTCAGCCTACCACTGATGATAACATTGTTGATGAGGGTTCTGTTGATGGTGCTGGTGATCGGATTAAGATATTGGAGGAGAGGCTTAGAAAGAGAAAAAGGGAAGCACTTCTACTGGAAACAGGAGGTAGTTCTGCTGAGCTTGACATCTATTTGAAATGTCAAACCGATGGTATCAATGAAGAGAGTGATGATGCAAAGTTTGACATTTTGGATTGGTGGTCTCGACACTCTGGAATCTATCCGATTGTTGCTGAGATGGCTAAGGATGTCCTAGCTGTTCCTATCTCTTCTGTTGCCTCAGAGGCAACATTCAGCTGTGGGGGGCGGATTCTCAGTCCATTCAGGTCCTCTTTGAGCGACCTAATGGTGGAGGCATTGATTTGTGCCGAGGATTGGATAAGGTATCCCGGATCCAGGGAGATTGACGACAAGGAAGATGATGAAGAGAATTTGACTTTGGAAAGTAGTGAGTTTCTCAAACTCTCTTATTGTTCAGTTTTTTGTCTTCTTTTCACCTAATTCAATGTACTAACACTTTGTTTTCCTTTTTTTTCTTACTCAGTTAATGTCACTTTCCAAACTAGAATGGAAAGTGCAACGAATACTGGCAATGTTGGCAATACAGATGCAAGCCTCAACATTCCAGTGGAGAATGAGCAGGAGGGTGAAGAAGATGCACCGGAGGAAGAATATGAGAACGATGGATATGACGATTATGGTCATGACTTGAGGGACGTATTGAACGAACAGGGTTATGCAGATGTTGGTTCTTCTAAGGCCGGTGATAAGTGATGATAGATTGTTTATGATGTGTTGTTGATTTGTTGTTATCTAGAGGACTTATTGTGATTTGTGGAGTTTATGTTGTTGAATTAATGAATATGAGACATTAAGTTGCTAATGTAGATGTATTTTCGGTGCAAAACGAATTAAAATGTAGGTTTGATATTTTAATTTTAGGCCATTTTAGATTTTTTCCCTTGCTGTCCGGTCGGTTTTGACCGGTTTAGGGTCGGTTTTCGGTCTTGGAGGTCGGTTCGTGTAGGACGACCGGTCGGTTTTTCGCGATCTTTGGTCGGTTAGGCCAGCAGACCGAATCGCCCTTCCCTTCTTCGGTGTGGCCGGTTTAACCGTGCCTTAACCGAAATCAGCCGGTCGGTTTTACGGATAATCGAGGTACCAGGGTCGGTCGGTGGCCGGTGGTATTTTCGGTTTTCGGTTAAACCGAAACCGACCGGGTGACAGCCCTAGCCAAGACCTATTCTTTAATCCCAACAAGCAAATTAAACCGATGATGTGAAAGTCTCCTCCGATCCGTTTAACTCTATCAAAAAAACAACACGCACTTCGATAACCCACCCTTCATTTCAAGACAACTCAACACTTGCAATTCATACCACACCACCTATAGCTTAGCAAGCTGCTTTGTTTCTCCACATAAACTCCAATTCCCATTTCATTCAAGATATAGACGCCACACACAGCCCACAAAGGAACAGAATTGAGCCCGCAACGCCAAAAGCGAACTCGATCGCCTTATGCAAACAAAAACAAATAAAGCCGATCCAGCAGAGGAGGAGGAGGAAGAGAAGAAGAACAATAACCAATAAATATAATATAATGTCACACATACATACATAAGCAGAAGGGCCAGAAGGGTGTGCGATGTGGCAGCATGTGCTTCGAATTGCCAGAAATCGACACCTCCTGCTTCCTGCATGAACACCCCTAATGCCCTTCAGCCACGCCACCACCCCCGACTCCCGTACTTTATATACCCACCATTTCTTCCCTTCCCTTCTCATCTTCATCTTCATCCCACCAATATTATTAGATACATCACAACAAACAAACCACCAGTTTTAGTTTCTCTCCTCCCCACCAACAATGAGTAGCACCATTTGTGCTGATCATCACCACCACCATTACAGTCCTTCCTCCTCTCCCACCGCTAAGAAGCAGCAGCTCTTCAAAGACCTCGACATCCCTCCTAGAAAACTCCTCCTCACCCTCGCCCACCACTCCACCAGATCCCCCAAATACCACCGCGATTTCGGCGACTCTTTCGACATGTCGCATTTCTACAAACACCTTCCGTGCAATGAAGCTGACAGGCCAGATCTGGATCTGGACGATGGCGACGACGACGATGATGGCGACGCCGATCCTTACTCCTCGGACCACTTCCGCATGTACGAGTTCAAGGTCCGGCGGTGCACGCGCAGCCGGAGCCACGACTGGACCGACTGCCCCTTCGCCCACCCGGGCGAGAAGGCCCGGCGCCGCGACCCCAGGAAGTTCCACTACACCGGGACCGTCTGCCCGGAGTTCCGCCGCGGCGGAGGGTGCGCCCGGGGAGACAACTGCGAGTTCGCGCACGGGGTGTTCGAGTGCTGGCTCCACCCGTCCCGATACAGGACGGAGGCCTGTAAGGACGGGAAGGGATGCAAGCGGAAGGTCTGCTTCTTCGCTCACACTCCCCGCCAGCTCCGCCTCCTACCGGAGAAGCCCTCCCCCGCCTCCGCGGCGGCGGCGGCGGCGAGGAAGATCAATCACCACAACCAACACCACCATCATCAGGACATCCACCACTGCGGCGGATGCCTGGCGTGCCGCGGAGGAGGGAGCTCCTCCTCCGTGGCTTCCTCTCCGACCTCCACTCTGCTCGGCATGTCCCACCTCTCCCCGCCGCTGTCCCCGTCGATGTCCTCCTCCTCCCCGCCGATGTCGCCGGCGGGAATTCACCACCGCGGCGGCGGCAGCGGAGGATTCGCTCACCGGCTGAGCAAGTCCCAGTCTCGGCTGGTGAGCTACAAGGACGTTCTCACCGAGCTGATGTCCTCGCTGGAGGCCATGAATTTCAGCGAGGAGGCTGCTGCGGCCGCCGTAGCGGCCGCCGTGTCGTCTCCCCCTTCCGTGAGCTATGACGGCGGGAGCGGTGGTGGAAGGAAAATGAACCTCAGCGTGAATCCATGGGTTAACGAGGTTTGTTTCAATTCTATTGGGGATGAGAATTACCATCATCAATTGGATCAGCAGCAGCAGCAGCAGTTCGTTATGTCGCCGTCGACTCCGAACTACGCTAATTCCGGGTTCGATAAGTATTTGATTGGTGCGGGTGGGGAGTATTTCCCGGCCAAGATCAACGGCCCAGCAGATTCCGAGTTCGTGGCTGGTGCGGAGAGGACGATTGGGAGTAACGGTAACGAGGTGGAGAACGGCGGCGGTTGCGACCCGGATCTTGGATGGGTCAATGAGCTGTTGATGTAGAAGAGGAAGGGAAGAATTGGGCTTGGGCTTGGGCTTTTGTGTAGATATTGTTTGGGAGTACGGTGTCGTTCCATTCCGCATGCAAGCGACGGCGGTGTATACATGAGAGAGAGATTGAGATGAGAGATGAAGGAAGAGAGAAGGATGTGGTTAATTAATTCCGGCCTGAGAATAAAATGAGAGGGGGTGATTAGGTGTAAATTAATGAAGGCGTGGGTGAAGGGAAGGCAGGCAGGGATGATTTTTATTTGGTTGTGTTGATTAATGTGTTTTTTTCGGGATTGTATGTTGTCAATTAGTTTTTGATTAATTAATGCGCACGATGGAGTATCTGTGAAAATGAGGGATTAATGGAAAGATGTGAAATGAGGGAGATTTGTACTGATGATGATGACAAAGAGAGGTTTTAACAAGTTAAGCTTATTTTTAGCTTTCCAGTTGTAACACTCGATCTGCTTTGCTTTTCAGTTTATGAAATTTGTACGGCTCAAGTACTTATCGAGCTTAATTATGATCCGATTTAGTTTGTCATCTTGTTAGAAACTTGGGATCAAACTGCAGATCATTAGGTTTTGATTTAATTGGGTTGTTCGGTTCAATATTTTTTTCAGTATGTATGATAAAATTCAGAGGACCCTTCAAATCAGTATATGATAATTCAAAGGATCAAAGATTAGACGGTATTACATTCGGTATTTAATTTGGTTAAGCTTTGTAGCTTCCAGTTGTACTCTGCTTTCCTTTTCGTTTTATGAAATTTGTACTGCTCAAGTACTTGGGCGTGTGCTTAATTATGATCCACTTTAGTTTTAGTCATCTTGTCAGAATCTTAGGATTAGACTCCACAGATCATCAATGCATTTGATCTAATCCGATTTAATCCGGTTCAAAATTCAGAGGATCAAAATTAGACTGTGTTACAATTTACATTTGATACTTTATGATAGATTGATCCGGTGTGGTGAGACTCGAGAATCAATCCCATCACACACTTTAAATACGAGTAACATCGAACCATTTTGGAGCCCAAACCTCAACCTTCTACTCGTTGTCCTTCTTGTTTTGTCGAAATTATAAATCGTCGGCTTTTCTATTAGAACGGATTGTTAGAAAGGCAGTTGTGGGTTCGCTATGCTTTGGCCTTTGCCCTCTTGTGAGTATTCCCCAAAGATGAGAATTCAGTTACTGAGTGTGTTATGTACTTATGTTACCCATGAATAGATTGGAATACAAAATCCATTTATTACATATAATTTCATAACTCAATTATATTAATTGATTTGGGAAGAAATAATATATTAGATCTAATGGTTCACATTATAAAAAATAGTAAGGCAAATTCAAAACTTATGGATTTTTAACAGGGACTGTGCTTTAAGGATTTCCAAGTGGCAATTAGTAGACTTTCAAATTTCAATGGTGCACAAATACTCAATAAATCACATCTCATTTCTTTAAATTTTGATTCAAAAAATATCTTCATTGAAAATTTAGATTTTTGTGCTTTGCAAGATGCCATCCATTTAATATTTTAGCAAAAAATACTCCTGCAATCTTATTAATGTCATATGGTAATGCTATTATGCAACACGGTCTTATGGCGTTGTACAGTGTTAGTATAGTGATAAGATTATGACATAACATAAGTTAGATTCTATTATGGAATCTTATCATAATGGTATAAAGTGAATATATATGACAGTGATCATACAATATGAAGTATTATCAATAATTTTTAGCAAAAAAATTTCCTTCATTTTGCTGTCGGTAAAAACCATAATGGTAGGATCATAATATAATAGTGGTAAGATGGGAGCAAAAGGTTTTGAATTTTTTCTCAAAATATAGAAAAATGGATATCATTGTGCAGACTCACTTCACTTCATTGAAGAGAAGCTCATCAAGAAACTCCAAGGGTGGAAATAAACGCCTATGTCTAGGGATGCTAAGGATATCCTTATTCGATCATCTGCTACTAATGTCTCGGCGAATGGGATGTCTTGCTTTAAGATTCCTCTAGACACATGTCAACGTTTGAACAACCATGTGGTTAGATCTGGTGCGCTCTGTTGAAAATTCAGACATCTTATTCATTAGAGCTCTAGGAAGATTTTGACCGATAGTAGACTTTGGGTTCCAAGAATTTCGAGCCTTTAACCAGGCTTTGTTAACTAAACAATTTGTGGCTCCTAGCTCATGCACAAAAGGTAATATTTCAACCAAAGCACGGTATTGGGGGCTATAGTGTTGTCTGTCATAAACCAACTGGTCTCAATTACTCGAGTTGTTGGGAGAGGCCCATGTATGATACTTAATCACTTCCTTACACGTCCCCTCAAACGAAAACCGACTCGTGGGCTTGAAGTTTGCACAGGTATGGCGTACCATGTGCTTGAAGACAACGGTTAATATTGGGGGTCGTGAGGATTGAACAAGTGACCTCAATGACAAACTAGCTCTAATACCATGTCATAAACCAACTAGTCTCAATAACTCGAGTTGTTAGGAGATGCCCATGAATCCTACACATCCTATAAGGAGATTCTCCTTGAAAACTCTCTCAAATAAATTTTCCTGGCCTCTGCGCACACTTCGGAAGGTCAACATAGTCTTTGTATATATTTAGCTTTTGTGCTATTTTTTTTCCGTCGCTTCTTTTGCAGGTTAATAGACAATAGCTCCACCATTTTTATATTATATGTAGGATGTAAGCATAATTAAATACATATTATATTATATAGTATGTTAGCATAATTAGATACATATTAAATTATATTATATGGGTCATATTGGTGTACTCCTGGAGTATAGTATACTCAAAAAATACTATCTTATTGACAAAACATGTTCCAGCACGATCTTCAAACAACAAGTAAAAGGGACGGAATTTTGGTGCATAACCTCCTTTTATTACAGCTAACACAAAATTCAAGAGCCATAGTTAAGGGATTCTTAATTTCTCAGAAATTTAGAGGACTTTATCTCATCCATTTCAATTATGATTTTAAATGGGTTAGAAAAACCATATTAATTGAAACTTGCCAAAGAAAATTTGAAGAGAAGACTATGGTTAGTAGTTTTAGAAGAATTATACAACAACATCAAAGACAATAGTAGTTAGGTAAAAATCTAACTCTACTCTTCTATGTTTTTAACTTCAAGTTCATTCATTAGGGAGAAATAAACGTACCCACTAAAAAAATAAAGTTTTAAACCAAATAATGTATCTCAATTTTTGTTATTTTATAGATCCGGATTAGTGTGAATTGTATACAATATTTTTTTAATCTAAATTTATTGTTCTGTATCACGAGGAAGCTAGATTTTTTGAAATGAATATTGAGAGACTATTCAAAGATAGTTACAAAGTGAAAGAATCTTTACCTCCTCATCTCATACAAACCGAGAGAACGAAGTTAAATTTTCATATCAAGCTCATCGATTACAACATCGTGAGCCCATAATTGGGTACATAGTTTTCAAGATTATGAAGAATGAAAGAAGAGCAATATCATACAAATTTCATAACATGTATGTAAAGTGAAGTTCTTGAAAATGAAAATTTCACAATTAAAAAAGTTTTGCTATTAAATTTTTGCATTAAGTGAAATGCAAGAGAAGAAGAAATATTATTCTAATAGCAGAGGTGGTGAATTCCGTGATGGAGATAATGACGTGTATGAGGTGAAATTCTACTACGGTGAAAAGATGTTTCAAATTTCCAAGCATTTTGTCATTAAAATTTGGTTTACAATGAAATGCAGGAGAAGAAGATGCTATTGATAGTGAATATAATGTTTAATTAATGAAGATGAAGCTGTGTGGAGAAAATACTTTTCATGGCTGAGCAATCAAAAGGAAATTTGCAGTAAATTCTAACATCAAAGAGTAAATTGAACTGCATTTTGAATATTAAATTTTTTAGGAAATGGTTACTTGCATGAGTTGTGTTGTTTAGTTTTGATAAGGATTTTTTCCATGAATGATCAAGGCATTTTAAAACTTATAATGTACGTTGTTTCTATACTTTTAGTAATTGAATAATTTGGATTCTTTTATATTACCGAATAAATGATTCGAATAATTACTATACAGTTAATATAATTCATCCGACCAACGGGCGGGCCCAACTCTAGTGGTACTTAACCACTTTTTTACACAGTCTAACCCCTCTTAGGGATGACGTAGGCTTGATATTTGGACGAGACCTCCTTTTGGAGGGTTTTGCAATGGCAAGTAGGAGACGACCTCGATATAGATGCATTTTATGAGGATTGGGTACCCTTTGTGCGCCTTGGAGCCCTTTCTTGCAAAATCCTCCTGATATTCCAGCCAAAGTTTTTCTTTTCCATCCAGATAGGCCTTGGGAAATGCATTTTCCTAGGCTTCTAGATTTGTTTGAGACTCAATCAGTGGCCCTTATCTGATCAATTGTCTGGTCTCGCTTACCTCAGAAAGATGTCTAAGTGTGCCACTTTACTAAGAACAATAGGGCTCGGTTAAAATAGGTTACCAATTAGCTTTGGTGCTCTCATTGGCAAATATTTGTAAGTCACGAAATGACCCCCGATATGGAAGAAAACTTGGGTGATCCACATTCCATCCAAAATGAAATTCTTTATTTGGTAATTTCTATGGGTGATATAAACTATGTGGTTTCCCTGAATGCATGAGGTGTCAACTTCTTGATTCGGTGTCTGATGTATTAGAGACTTCGAGAGAGTATCGAACACTTTTGGATTAGGTTCCCCTTGGGGTCCAGTTATTGTCTCAATGTGTCCAAGTGAGTTCCTGGTATGGGTTCTTACTATAATTTTTTGTCTATGGTGACGTAGCCTTATACTCTTTGGGTACTCACACTTAAAAACTTTGAAATTTCTCCTTATTGTAGAGAATATGGAAATCAAAAAACTAAATTGGTTTTTAGTAC